ATGCAAATTAATAATTAGTGTACAAAATTACTATAATAAGCAAGATAACATCGTTGTTGTTGCCATTTTTTTTTTTTGTTGTAAATAATATTTAAATTTGCATTCTTACTTTTTGTTCTCATACGCTTTTTTCAACTGTAGAGACGGCTAAGAACTGTAGAGACGGTTTTTCCAGATAGATAATGAGATATGGAAGTCAATCCTAACATATAAAACGTCATAGTCGTCCTAGCCTTTGTACAATAAGACCATGTTAAACGGTCTTATAACCAAGAACGTAGTACTGCAAAGCCAGCCGCTGTTCTTTTCGGACAATGGTGTATAGCATAACACGTAAAAAACCTGCGCATTTCGTTCAATACTTCTTTTAAAAGTTGCAGAAACTTGAACGAAGAAGAAACAGTCACTCATTTTTCTGCGAATGCCCAGCTTTAACTAACAAAAAGAACGGATGTTTAGGAAAATTTTCTTTCTTTACTTTCTTGACAGTATGTCGGAGCAAAGGTTTTGCTAATGAGTAAGATTTTTTTAAATTATATAAATTCAGCTTGCTGTATTTAGCTTATCTGTAGGGGTTTCTTGCAAGGAATTTGGTATTAAAACGACAAATAACTACGAATTATCTGAGGCGAAAGGTCAGCCTCTGCAACTACCTAACCAACAGGCCCTTCTGTACGCATCTACAATCACATTATATCTTCATCAATGTTTTAAAAAAGAATATTTTTAGTAATTAACACATTGGGAAGACTTTAAAGAACCTTTTTTTAAATTAATTAATATTTTTTATTTTAACTTAATAGTTTCAAATTATTAATTAATTTAACTATGTGCACTTTACGTTTTTAAAAATGTTTATATTTTTACCGTAAATAAACGCTATTTCATGCAAGTCAATTTTAGTGGTATATTATATTATTTAATATTTACCTATACATTTGTGTGCCTCCTTAAAAACCTTTTTTGGCCTGTCTACCTTTTCTGTAAGAAGTAACTGACTACCTTTTCTTTCAATTATTTGTTTTCTTAATTTGTAAAGGCATTTTTCAATTCACCATCTACAACCCTCGGGACTGCCACGTGCCAATAGAGTGACAGACTTCGGTACTTCAAAAAACAAATAAATGAACTACTTAGGGATGATCTCCATAGGCTCTTTGATTCTTCTTTCTTAATAAGTACATGTGCACCGTTGCAATGAAACCAAAAATAGCAATTGATATATTGCAAAAGATTGTACAACTAAGCAAATGTTCAAAAAGATTATAATTTATGCTGTTAGTGTTGTTTTTGTAGTAGTTTCTCCATTCTGAAGATACCTAATTGGTTTGTCTTCGTTGAAAACAAAAACGTTCCGATGGGAGTTGTGATCAGCACTTCGTTATCCATGGTGACTAGCTTCAACGCCGCGTATAGTATCGCTTGCTCTTGGAAACATGTTATAATTTTCAGAGACTTTATATTTTTATTGTATGGTAGGAAGTATAAAATTATTTTGTATTTTGTTTAATTTCGCAGAATACAGAATAGAGTATTTTAATTTTTAATTATATATTATTTGCAATTAAACATAAAAATTAACTCGAAAAAGAATATAAAATTTTAAGTCTCTTATTTCGTACCCTAATTAATAATATTTATAAGTTAATAATTTATTTTTTAATAGTCTTAAGTTCGAATTAGTTGATAAATTATATTAATTCATAGATATATAATCTAGTGCATTCTCTGTTTATCTTTAATATCATCACATTATATATATGACTGATTAAAATTTTTAATATTTAATTTTTTTTTTTTTTTTTTCAGAATATATGAAGGAACGCAAACGTCTCGCACAAACTCCTAAGAAAATGTCACCACCATCAAAACGCATGCGTACTTCATCTGGCAGTGGCGTCTCTTCAAGTACCAACAGTCACTTAAGTCAAATGTTCGGCTTTAGTGGAAATATTACTTTCAAAAGATCATATGCAAAATAAACTCAAATTTTTCTCGTCAACTTTACATATATTTAAGTATAAACTATTTTGTATACCCTATATGTATATTCCAATTGTAAATATATACATATACATATATATGTATATTTCGATTTAAATTATAAGTACATAATTTCAATTAAGAAATTGCCATAAATATTAGTGATTAGTTATAAAAATTTTATATACAAAAAACTATTAATCAAAGACAATTTTCTATTGGTAAAATCTAAAACTCTCAGTTTTATAAAAATTAACTAAAGAAACTAAAATAAGAACAAATCAAGTAATTATATGCATTATGTATATAACTTATATATATATATATATACTGAGCAAAGTATTTACTTTAATATAACTATATTCATATAAAATTTTGAAATTTTTTTACATGATCACATATTTATAATGCACAATTATTGTATTTTTATATAATTTGTATAAAACTAACAATAGAACTTTTCTCATGCTATAATTGAACTCATACATCCTTAACATCCCTTTAAGCTATTAAGTCAAACTTATACACAAAGCTACCAGTGGTACAAAGCAATATTTTTAAATGGTGTAAATATATATGTACATATAATAAATATAAAAAATGTTTTGCTATTTATTAAATGCTGCCCTTGTTATTATGTAAAATATTAAAAATTTCATAAAATTTTTACAAATCGTGAATTTGTTAATAACTTTATGTTATAACGACGGCTGCGTTAAAGGCACTAAACTATTTAAATTTTTAATATAACTTTTTTATGAAATATATTTATTACTTAATAAGCAATTAAAATTAATTATTAAATAATAATTTTAATTGTATATTGAAATTACAAGATTGCGAGTTTATGAAATTATTTTTTTGTGAAATAACTCGAAATTTTCTTATTTTTTTTTATATCATAATTTATTTTAAAGTGGCAAATCCTATTATAATGATATATTTATGATAGTCATTTGTTACTTACATATGTTTTTGTGTTCGAATACTTTGAGCTATATGCAAAATATAAGAAAACTTAACTACATATGTACATATATATTTACATTAATTTATACAGTTTTTTAGTACAAAATTTGAATATTAGATTACACTATAAGATTTGTTTGCATTTTGTAATTTTCAAATAACGAATCAATCAGTGTAATATATTTATTCTATTGTATATTTTTTTTACTTATTTTGTTAATAATTTCCTTTAAATTGCATATGTATATGCGTTAATGTGTGTTTATATACATATATTAGTATAATGCAAATTAAACCGAAATTAATATCTATTTGTTACCAGAAAATATTTTTTTTACATGAAAAAAGTATTTTTTTTATAGTAATAAAAAAATAATTTTATTTTATAGTAAAAGAAAATGCATTTTCTTTAGTAAAAACAAATATATTTTTTTATAGTGAAAATATTTGTTTTTATTAGAAAATATATTATATTTCGTTTAAAAAAAAATTAATTTAATTAATGGAGAAAAAAATATTTTCTATTTAACATTTTATGCAAACATTTTTTTTTAAATATATTTTGTTGAATTACTTTTTATTTATTATTTACAAACAGTTAAATTTATATGCTGTGTAAAGAACTATTTTTTAATTAGGCAGAGCCCAACCGAAAACTGTAACTCTTTTTTTTAACGATCAATTGTAATGAATTAAAGTAAGAAAATAACCAACAGTAAAAGAACGTTTATAATTAAATAAATAAATGAGTAAACTAAGTAATTATGTTTTTCTCTGGCTTGTTTTACAATTTTTAGTTTATATATACGCATGTATGCTGCGTGTAGGTTTTATTAACTATTAATTAAATTTGAACAATTATAAAACCTATCCAAAACCCATGCTTAGGAATCCATTTGTTGTATTAGTGGGTGCTTATATAATTAAAAAAAAAAAATAGTCCAAAATTTATTTCAATTAAAGTCATATTGGGATAATCTAAAACTAATAACTATATTTTTATGTTTTTTATTTAATAATGTAATAATGTAAAAATTGTATCACCGATCAATCCATAGATTTTATTTATTATTAACTAATAAATTCTACATGTAAACTACCAACAAAAAATGGATGTGCCGCACCAGTTGGCTCTGTAGTTTACTCGTAGTTTAAATAATCACAGTAAAAATTACGTGTACCAACTATTTGGCGTTAGATTGTGTATGCAGTTTTTGTTTGAATAGTTAATATAAATATTTTACAAATTTAAACATTGATATCTCAACAAGTATGCTATATCCACACATAGTGTAGAGTATAAAGAGATCGGAGTGTGTGGAAAATTGGAATCTCAACGATCTGTATATTCTTTAGACAGTATAGACTTAAGTTTTCAAACAAGTGAGTGAATAATTGCAATTGGGGTTTCAGTCGCGTTTCTGCGACAAACAGCATATGAAACTCTTATAGGTCTGTTGTGTTACTATAAAGCTCTTCATTCAATATGTCATCCCTTCAATTAATTTGGTTTTCTAAAGGGCTTCTGTGCTACAAATAGTGTTAATTCAAGATCTACTTACATAACTTGTAGTACTTCGGAATTCTCGTAAAAGAGTTTTGCAAAAATTGCAGTCCTACTTCTGATAAGACTGGGCATATACACAATAGCTTGATATATTTACTTCTTCCTCCTAGAAGAGACCATAAACCTTTTCAGTTCTTGCATGGCGATACCCGAATAAAATATTACAATTAAGAAATATGTAGATATATCTACAAGCCTATTATTAATTTATTATTATTAATCATTAAATTATTTTTAAACAGAATTTAATTTTAATTACTTATTTTGTATAAACATTTGCAGAATATTAATTTTAATATTTTCAAGCGATATATAATTACGGACTGTTTTTAGTAAAACATGCATGAAAAAAAAATAGCTTTGATAAGTACCAACGCTAAATTTTAGGTAATATTGCACAAATTTGGTATTTAAATAAAATAAAAATATTTCATTTGTTTATTAAATTTAAGTTTATTTAACAAAAATTTTTTAACTACCAACAAAATAAAATCAATTAATTAATCAATTAATTCAAAATATTCATCTAACAAATTAAAGGACTCGTCACCCTCGGTCTCTTCCAATATTATATCATCATCTTCTTTCATCTCAATATATTGATATTCATCATGCGGAATATATTCATCGGTTTCTTCCTTCGCACTATTTTGCAAGCTTGCAGCCTTTTGTTTATTCCATTTCCTGAGCACCGTTTTGCGATACATATTCTTTTTGTTCGGTTTAATTTTATGTATATTTCTTCTGTGTGATAATAACGAACTGCAATTTGCATATGTATTTTCACATAACTCGCAAAAGTATCGTTTCTTCTTAGTTTCGGGATCTATAATTTTTGGATAGCGATTAAATTTAGTCCTTTCCTCCAATTCTTCGTTTGTTCCTTCCAGTGCTAAATGCATATACTGCTTATGACGAACGACTGCTGCATCGGAACTAAGCTTTAAATTGCATATATCACATTTAAAGGTAAGATTATGCTGTACCTTGCGATGAACAGCCAAACTCTTACGAGTGTTGTAGCCCTTACCACAGTATTCACATATGTTATCACGTGCTTGTTTATGTGTTTTCATGTGCTCCTTAAAAAGATATGGCTTGTGGTACTTTTTCGGACATAACTTACATTCAAATTTTGGTTTTTGATGTAATTGCATGTGATGTCTAATAGAGAATCTACTGTAATATTTACCACATATATGACATATATATTTTTGCCCTCTATTCAAACATAAAATTGAATGCGTTCGAAAATTATGTGCATTGCGAAACAGCTTATTACATCCACTGCATTTATATGGGTTATCTCCAATATTATGCTCTATAAATATGTGCTTTTTCAATTTCTTTTCTGTTTTATAACTTGCACTGCACTTATCACATGTGTATGATAAATTTTGCTGTCCATAGTTATGATCTGTTATGATTGTATCATTTTCACAATCTTCACTAACGCTAACATTATTATATTCATTGAACTCTTCGTCATTTTCATCTTCATCTTCATCATCATCATTATCATCATCTTCAATATCACTGCACTCATCATCATCATTATCATTATTCTCATTCTCATTATTACTATCACTATCATTATCATTATTATCAGAAATAATTGTAACATCTTCAGAATCAAGTTTATCGACCTTATTTTCTTCAGATGATTCAAGGCTTTTTAATGTAGAACTATCCATAGACTTTGATATATTATTCATCTTTCTTTTTTTTGGTTTTGAGATTTCTTTTTTTGGCATATCATCATTATTTTCACACTTATATTTTTCCCTTAATAATTTTACAAGTTTCTGGTTATGTTTTAAATCGTTTAATATATTTGGATTATGTTTTTTTAAATGATTCAAACTTTGTCGAATTCCAAGGCTTGTAGTATTTATATTCCATCTATTGTTGAGTTTTGTCTTAAAATCACATATAGCATTATCAAATGCCTTTGGTGATACATAGCGTTTTGACCGAAGTACTGAATGTGATTTGATAAGTTTTAAGAAGTCTCCAACCACAGGTGAATAAGTAGTTCCAACACGAATCTTAAAATATTTCATAATATTAAAAATTTTTGTTTCATTTAATTATGGTATTTTTAACAAGTATTTTGTTAGTTATTAAATGTTCTATTACATTAGTGACTAACAATAAGTAATTTAATCTTAATTACTGTTTAATCTTTAAGTTTAAGATAAAATGAAGTAAATAACTTT